ATGAAACGGAATGGAGCGAGCCGCTCGGGGGCCTTGGGAGCTGGTTGAGGTGTGTGGGGGGGTGTGGTGGGGGGGGTTTGTTGAAGGGCCAGTGAAACTGGCTCATTACAATATCACTCAGAACCAGAGCCGAGGGTTGAGTTGTTCCCCCTCTGCTGTTGCACGTCCCCACGGGACGAGATGGAGAGTTGTCTGTAGCCGGCTACGAGTGTTGCTTTCTCTGTCTGTCTCTCCCAATTTTGCACTCATTGTCTGTCTTGTCATCTGCCCCATTTTCTTCAGTTTTTTTTTTCTTTCTTTTTTTGCATAGTCCATGCCTGCATTGAGTGCCCTGCTTTGCTGAGTAAGAGTTTGAAGCAATTATAGGCTTTATGCCGTGCGTCACGTGACCAAACCGGAAAACGGGTCTCATCGCATCCGCTTGTCAGAGAAAGTGTTAACGGCCGTAACTGACTACGATATCTATGGATATTTAAGGTAATCAGCTAACCTACCTAGTTCACTTTGTTATTGGCGTTTTATTACATTTAAATATCTAAACGTTACTGTGAATACAAAGAATACAAAATATAAAACGTTTAAATATCAATCTGCACATGTGAGGGATATTGGTTATGCTAATCTTTGTTCGCTCCTTTTAAGTTATCTTGAGTAAAACCGCAAAAAATTTCATGAAGCACATACAAAAGACCTGGACCGGAAGCGATGCGACCTGTTTTACAGAGAATGCGGAAGTAAGTTGTGCATAAAGCCTATTGGTCGAAGAAGCTGATGTAGCTGTCAAAAGTTAATCATAATACATTTTAAAGAAGATAAGATTGCAAATACTAAATATTTTGGAGAAAGTCAAGAAAATGTAAGTGATGCTTCCCTCTGACAAACCGGCCATGGTAATTTTTAGTGTCAAAGCAGTTGCTGGCTTTCTGGGTGGTTGCTTACTAGCCCAAGTCAGAAGTGCCAGGTTTTAAATCTGATTGTATATTTTTTTTAAAGTAACATATGGTTTGGGTACCTCTCCTCAACAAGTCACGCGACCTGAGATATCATTTGATTTTTGTTGCAAAAATGATGCAAAAGTTTGTTCAAACCTTAAAATATGAGCAGTTTATTCATCAGCTTTATTCTTTACGAACACTGCAAAAGCATTTTATATTACTATACAACTTTGATATACTGTGACACATTTATACACACACACACACACACACACACATACACTTTACAAAATTATAAATGCATCACTTTTGTTTTTGCCCCCATTTTTCATGAGCTGAGGCCTATTTCTATCAAATAGTGTTTGTGAGCAGTTCTTTGCTGAGATAATCCATCCACTTCACAGGTGTGGCATATCAAGATGCTGATTAGACAGCATGATTATTGCACAGGTGTGCCTTAGGCTGGCCACAATAAAATGCCACTCTAAAATGTACAGTTTTATCACAAAGCACAATACCACAGATGTAGCAAGTTTTTTTAGAGAGCATGCAGTTGGTATGCTGACTGCAGGAATGTCCACCAGAGCTGTTGCCCGTGAATTGAATGTTCTTATCTCTACGATAAGCCATCCCCAAAGGTGTTTCAGAGAATTTGGCAGTACATCCAACCGGTCTTACAACCGCAGACCTCGTGTAACCACACCAGCCCAGGTCCTCCACATCCAGCATCTTCACCTCCAAGATCGTCTGAGACCAGCCACCAGGATAGCTGCTGCAACAATCCGTTTCCATAACCAAAGAATTTCTGCACAAACTGTCAGAAATCATCCCAGGTAAGCTCATCTTGATGCTCGTCATCCTCATCAGGGTCACGATCTGACAGCAGTTTGTCGTGGTAACCGACTTAAGTGGGCAAATGCTTGAATTCTATGGTGTCTGGGACTTTGAAGAGGTGTTCTCTTCATGGATGAATCCCAGTTTTCACTGTATAGGGCAGATGACAGACAGCATGTATGGTGTTGTGTGGATGAGCAGTTTGCTGATGTCAACCTTGTTGATCGAGTGGCCCATGGTGGCGGTGCAGTTATGGTATGGACAGGCGTATGTTATGGACAACGAGCACAGGTGCAGTTTATTGATGGCATTTTTTTAGAGATATGGTGATGAGATCCTGAGGCCCATTGTTGTGCCATTCATCCTCTATGTGAAAGAGATGTGTTGTGAATGAGGCAAATGGTGGTCACACCAGATACTGAATGGTCCCCCCCCCCCCCCCACACACACACACACATACACAGATTTTAGAGTGGCCTTTTATGGTGGTCAGCCTATACTCATTTGTAAGCAAAAGTAGATACAAAAATATGTCAATTTGTATGTGTGTCAATGGTAAGCTTTAAGAATACAGCAATTTATTCGTATTGTTAGATATGACATGTATAAGTGTCCAAACCTGCTATAGGTTTGCTGTTAGAAATGTGGGGTGCCGCATTAGGTTAGGTGAAGTGCTGGAGGAGAGGTAAACTGTTAAAGATCAAAGTAAAAAACAAGCAAATTTCAAACAAGCCTCTGGAGCTCAGCAAGAAACTTTTTGGTCCTCTGATAATACTTAGATCTATAAATGTTTCCTTTATTTATTTATTTACTTGTTTATTTTTAAAATTATTCATTGCAATAATAATTTGGGTCTAACAAGCACTTGTGGGAGACGGCTTTCTTTCGCATCTTTCTTTCACCGCACTATAGTGCAGGGAGCTGTGGGATTTAGGGAACTATTAGAGAGATTTTTTTTATTTGTAGCTAATGAATGCTATGCATTCTATTTTTTGAGCTTTTTGTATATTTGGTTGTTGTAACTAGGGCTTGAATGTAGTGCCAGAGAATTTACAGGCCAAGAAATTCAAGGTTCTTTTGATTTATATATTATAAATATGTTTATAGTATGTGATTACACACACATCAGCCAATCACATGGCAGCAACTTATTTATTTTTGCATGTAGACATGGTCAAGAAGATCTACTGAAGTGCATCAGAATGGGGAAGAAAGTGGATCTACAATAAGTTACTTTGAACATGGCGTGGTTGTTGGTGTCAGATGGGCTGGTCTTTCAGAACCTGCTGATCTGCTGGGATGTTCATGCGCAAGTTTCTCTAGAGAATGGTTTGAAAAAGAGAAAATATCCAGTGAGGGTCAGTTCTGTGGGTCAGAGGAGAGTGGCCAGACTGGTTCGAGCTGATAGAAAGGATACAGAAACTCAAATAACCACTCATTACAACCGAGGTCTACAGAAGAGCATCTCTGAATGCACAACATGTCGAACCATGAAGCAGATGGGTTACAGCAGCAGAAGACACAGCGGGTGCTACTCCTGTCAGCTAGGAACAGGAAACTGAGCATGCAATTCACACGGGCTCACCAAAATTTCATAATAGAAGATTGGGAAAACATTACCTGATCTGATGAATCTCAATTTATTCTGCTACATTCAGTTAGGGTCAGAATTTGGTGTAAAGCATGGATTTATTCTGCCTTGTATCAACGGTTCAGGCTGCTTCTGGTGTAATGGTGTGGGGGATATTTTCTTTGCACACTTTGGGCCCCTTGCTACCAATTAAGCATCGTTTAAAACGCCAAAGCCTACCTGAGTATTGAAACTGACCATGTCCATCCCTATGACCTCGCTGTACCGATCTTCTGATGGCTACTTTCAGCAGGATAACGTGTCATGTCACAAAGTTAAAATCACTTCAAATTGGTTTCTTGAATATGACAGTGAGTTCACTATAAGCAAATGGCCTCCACAGTCACCAGATCTCAATCCAATAGAGCACCTTTGGGATATGGTGGAACGGGAGATTCGCAGCTGGGTGTGCAGCTGACAAATCTGCAGCAACTGTGTGATACTATCATGTCAATATGGACCAAAATATCTGAGGAATATTTCCAGCACATTGGTGAATCTATGCCACAAGGAATTAAGTCAGTTCTGATGACAAAAAGGGGGTCCGATAAAGTTTACTTTATAAAAATGTATACAGTGATAAACAATGACCAGAGGTGGACCAAGTACCCGACTTACTTACTTGTGTGAAAGTACAGATACTACTGGTCAAATATTACACAGTTACAAGTAAAAGTTGTAAAGACAGATTTTTACCGATTTTATTAAAAGTACAGAAGTACTTGTTTTTAAAAGTACTTGAGTATCAAAAGTACAAAGTAAATGTCAATCAATGCATTGCTACACACCCCAACAAAAGAAGTACACATCTATGTCTATCCATTCACGCAGATTTGAATCAAGTGGTCTGTAAATACTAAAAAAAAACCTAGCTATACAACCATAACTGTATAACTGCACAACACAGCACAACAGAAATACTTATTTGCCATGAAAACAAAACTTTCATACCATTACTTGTGACAACGATACTGTCTCTCACTGATCACCAGTAAAGAGAAATTGTTCTAATCGTCAAACTTCACGACACGTGACCCTACAGGAGTGGTTACTGATAGGCTGCTTGTCACCCGCAAAAAAACAATCACGTTTTCGAGACGGAAAAAATCCTGCCATGACTAACATTATTTTCTACTCAAGGATTTCTGTTGCATTCCACTTGTGGAATCGTGATGGTTTATGAGTTTTACAGGCACACAGTGAACTCATGTCATCTGAGTAGTTGAGCATCGTCCCAGTAATATCTGCTCTCTGGGAAGTTTTGCGGTGACCGGAGTCCACTGAAAACAATACAGTCAAACTGTTGTTTCAGCGTTAACTTTCAAACATTAAAAAGACTCCCGCATGAAGACAACTCTGTGAACGTGGGCTGATAATGACCTCCCTGCTGAATCCAGAGCAGCGTTCCCCAGATGTCCCGCTGAGCAGTGCTCAGAGACTTTGATGTTTGCAAGATGCAACTCTCCTTGTAAATATGTACATTATTGAGAGATGGAACGCTGTTGTTGTCGGTTTTATGAAGAGTCTTATACAGGCCTTATGCATGCTGAATGCTTGAATATTGTGGGGTGAACAGATGCTATTCTTTTTCCATTTTTTAGACTTGCCAGAGGCTCCTATCTTCAGCCCGGTCAAGTATAGGAAGTCTCAACTCATCTACTATGATTGCCCTTGGCTGGTAAGAGGAGATTGAAAACAAAGATGTCTTTTTGAATTTACATTGACAGCCCAGCTGTCATCAAAAGCATCACATTTTCTGTATGTAAACCATTGCAACCATTTTGGTTGCCATTTCAAAGTGGCACTGGTCGTCAACATAACACATTTAACCGATAATTATGTATAGACTATTGAGATAATTGCTTCAGTCTAATGACTTTAACCTCTTACATTATTGTCTTCAAGGTTCAAAGCTTCAGATTGTTTACCAGATCCAGGCTGCATCTTTAGGAGTGTGAAGTTGCTATGTGAAGGTTTAGGCTTTTGGGAGACCCTCCTCTCAACCCCGTGTTGACAGCCCAACCTGAGTGCTGCGCATGGCCTGCCCAAGGCAAGACCACAGGCGACGCATCTCTCCTGTGGGCCTCCTTCAGGATCCTCCATACCTCACATCGCCACCTCCTTCCCACCGTCTGCTTGTAGAAGGTATAGAAAAGATTTATTTGGGGGTGTCCTCAGGCATCCAGGTTTTCAGATGCCACCCCATGCCACTGCCATAATGTTAAATGACTATTTTTGGAGTGCAAATCTCAACTATGTGACTTTCCGCTCACTGCACTAATGCACCGTGACTGCTGGGTTTCTAAGGGAGGTTCGAGAGAGTAATACAGGGAGGGGGGTGTACCTTTAGTTAACTGCAAGACACGTATACCAGACTGCCGCTTTACCACCATCCACCCCACTACATTTCTTGCTGTTTTTTTCCCTCTGTTTTTGTGTCTGAGTCCTGACTATCAACATTAATGAGACGTTCTTCAGCTGGCTGGATTCACAAAGGAAAGGTGAGGAAACAATATGGTATTCTGGAAGCTCTCTGACTTTCTGCCTATTTGAGTCTTTTTGATATAAATGAAACGCGGAGAGCGGGACGAACACTGCATATGAAACAAGCCCCTGTATCGTTTGCCCAGTAGAAATATCAGGAGAGAGCAAAACTCTCTATATAGCTATATAGTGTTGTGCATGCACTTTGCTAATGCGAGGTTCGAGAGTTGCTGGAATTGCAGTAATAGTTCAATTCATAATTAATAGTATCTGATTTGCCTGATTGCATTTTAGCAGTAAGGGATTAACTATATCTGCAAAGACATAAAAAAAAAATGTTAAGTATTTATGATCCTTGATAGAACTATTAACGGCAAATAGCCATCTCCTTGAATATTGATTATTGCTAATTAAAAATTCATTTTGAAAAGGAAGTCGACAGTCTCTCGACCTCCTCAATATTTTCGCCTGCTTAAAGTTTTCTCTGCTTGCGGTTTGGGCTATCAAATGCAGAGGAAAGCTTGACAAGGCAGTCATTAGTTGTCATTAAGATGCACACCAAAGGCAAAGGACATTGTGTTAAAAGAAGGGCAACAGTTGAATTTTTTTTCAAAGGTTTTGAAAGCCAGAGAAAAAGGAAACTCCCACATTATTCTAGGTCATGTACAATTTAGAATCTATTGACGGGAGCACACTGTTGATTGACTCTGAAAATTTGACAAAAAACAAACAAATGAATAACATGTTTACAGTAATACTTAATATGGATGCCTAGCGGGCTAGTGTGCAGCACTGCAAATAAATAAAATATGCAGTTATAATACTGTTTTGAAAGTAACCAAGCACATTACACATGTTAGCATTAGACTGGTGTGAAAGAATTGCTTACCGACCATGCCTGTGCAAAGCTTTATCAAATATTTACACTAAACCCTGTTACTTTGCTTCATTTAGTATATGTAGACCCATGAATATGCAAATTAGCCCCATCTCTACTCACTCACACCAGCTCAGAGATCTACTCACTTAACTTTACTGTAGTAATCACTGCACAATGGCAAGTGGAAATACCGATAAACTGATTCAGAAGAAGTGGAAGTGTGAATTATACATGCTCGTCTACAAGCCGATGTATCAGAATGGTAATGCGTTTTATGTATTGCTCTCTACAACGAAGGACACATAACAGTAATTGATATGATGCCTTTTGTTTCTAAATATACAAGATTTTTCATATCAACAGAAACTTTGTCATTTGTACAAATTATATCATCATTTTTATACTCTTATTTCACTACTGTCTGTTTCCATGCCATTCCAATCTTGTGGGACTTACTTTCCTTTGTGGAACACAAACAACATTTTTGGAAAAATGTTTAAACTGTTTTTATCCATACAATGAAAAACAAGTCCAAAATATCAGAAAATTACAAAACTTTCATTTTTGGGTAACTGGTCTCTAATAACTGCTTAATCATTCCTAAGATACTAAAATACTGTTGAGCTAATACTAAATGATTAAATACGTGTTAGTTGGAGCCGTGGCATAGCCATTTGTGCTGTCGCTGTCAATAAAAGTAGTAAAAGACCAACAATTTACTGTACATACGTGCACTAACTTCAAAGTCTTTGAGAAGATGCAGAAGCTGCTATAAAAAGTACAAAATGGTAAACTGGAATAGGGTGAATTTTTCCCCAGAGCTGTGCCCTTTAGCAGACAGAGATTAGTCGCTAGCAAGCTAGCAAGCTTTATCACAACACTGGATTTATCCAACAGTGTTTGAAGTCAAGTTGTTTACTTGCAGTTTATATTATAGATTTACTATGTCTGTCAGAAAACAGTTTTTCTGTTCAGAAAACAGAAAGAAGTTTTTGTTAGATACGCCGGCCTCTCTGAATTACACAATTTTTCTTTCCACACTGAAGATGATGTTGCTGAATGACATGACACAATCCAATCAAAAGATATTTTATGTTTAATGTGGTAAATTATACTTTTTTGAATGAGTACATGTTTTTAGATATACTAAGGCTTGGAACCTAAGTTAATTAATTAACAAAAATTAATATTTAAAGCATGTTAAATTTGATGGGACTTCCTGCTTGCTTGTGTCACATTCAATTACTCAGTCAGTCTGTATTTTGGAAATATTTTTTTTTCTGCCATTTTAACTCCGCAAATGCGCTAAATACCTTTGCTCAGACACAGACAAATTCTTTTCACCTTTTGTTTGGATCTCCTGTGGAAGTGGTTAAATAAACCTGCAGATGTCAGTTTAAACTTCATCATGTGAACAGTGGAATCGTCCTTGCATTTGCATTAAGCCAACAAAAAGAAGAAGTGTCTTAAGGTCGTTATGACATGAGGATTTTCACGGAGAGACAAACTCTTTATCAAAACACAATTTAGCAAAAATAATCTTGCTTTTTTTAAAATAATAGTTTTGTAAAATTTTGATTCATTTATAGTTTGCTTCTTGTCTGACAAAATAACAAGTTTTTATTTTTAACATTGATAACTGACATCTAATGTTTGTCTCTTTTGAAAGCACTACTGATCAAATCAATTTGGGAGCACATTAGCAAAGCCATAATTCCATATTCTCAGCGTGTGGAAAAGTATGTTTGCCAGAGTTAGAGTACAGTCAATCTGGATGCATGTATTCACTTTTATCAGGGCCTCTTTGTTTGGCTCATTGCTCTCGCTTTCTGTATTAATGAGTGTGTTTTGCTCTGTGCATTTGCTGCTGTTTGGATTTGTTTGTCTCAGTTTGTTAAGGGTTTAAAATGCTCGAAATAGCCCCCACCCCCAAAAAACAAAACAAAGCAAATACGGCCAATCGTGCTGCCAACCAGGATACTGTTTTTCCTCATGACTGTTCCAGTTTATGAGAACTTGTTCCCACCCCTCAAAGCATTTGCTAAGGCCTGCTAATTGACTGTAATGCCTGATGTTGACTTGAGAGCCAGCAAGTGTCAACTTGGACAGTGTACATGCAATTACCATGGCTAACACAGCTAACACTGGTCACAACTGGTGTCTTAGCATTTAATGAGTTCTCTCTTTGCAAAATTGTGGCCCGCTCAGTTTTCAACTGAGAGTAAACACACTCAAGAGGTCCTAAAGGAGGCCAGAGACTTGACGCTTCCACGGGGCTGCAAGAATAACGTACCGCGGAGTCCCGTGAGGGCCGCTGATGAAATAATAATGTGTTGGGTACAAAAATGCAGCTGAAATATGCACATGAAAATCTGCTGCATGTCTTATATACAGCCTATGACAATTCTTAGTGAAAAGTTAACATGCAAATAGACCCCCCTTGTCTTCTCTCCTTTGAGAGCAGTAGGCCCATTGTCTGGATTATGTTATTGTTTATTTTGAAAACAATTAAAGTAGCTGATTATACATTTCATAATTTGTCTTTCAGGAGAATTACGCTAATGCAGTCTGTTTGAAGATGCTCCTGATGGGATCCCCAGTGAAAGGAAGGTACACACTTTTTGCACTAAAAGGATAGTAGTAAATATCATAGTGTGACTAATTGGAATTCATCTAATCAGGACTTCTGTGCATGTCAGTGTTTATATTTAATTAAAACCATTTCATGCTGATTTTCTTGCTGGATTTTAAGTGCAGTTGCAGAAAAAAGGCACCGTGTTTCCCTGTGCTGATCTCAACCCAATGATTTAGCATAACTGGAAATACTCTCATTATTTACTCACCCTCATGTTAATCTAAATCTGACCTTCTTTGTTCTGTGTAACACAAAGTAATATTTTTTGAAGAATGTTTAAATGATTTCCATACAGTTAAAATCAATTGGGTCCAAAACAAATGTAGCCTATACATTTTTCAAAATACCTTCTTGATCCCCTGAAGAAATTTTTTTATAAAGTTTGGAACGACATGAGATAGTTCAGGTGAGCAGACTGTGTCTATTGTTGTGACTTAGTTCAAATAAAATTTTTTTTAAGTAAAATCCTGGCAAATTCAAAGGGATCACATACTTTTCCCAGCAACTTTATGCAGCCCCCTGCATTGAGTAATTTCTGCCGAGACATAATGCAGGTTGTGAAGTTTCCTTCGACACTGACTTCATGCTCCGTGGACATTAGAGAAACCTAGTTCCCGTGTTTTTGACCAATCGCCATCTTCTATTTACACTCAATGCTCGTTCAACTTTTTTCTGTTTTTATAACACACTCTCACTCAACACGGGCCACTCTCTTTCCCTCGAATGTTACTGTGCCTTCCCAGTGCATTCTGAGGCCTTTCACAATGAAAGAGGTATGAGAACCAAAGAGCAAGAGAGAGAGACATGTCAGCTTGCACCCTCAGTCACGGCCGGTTAGTTAAAGCAAATGCCGTTGGCCTCCAGAGAGAGCGCGGGCCAGCCTAGGGTGCCAATCACAGCTGTACCCGGGGCTTTCCTGTGTTCCGTTCGCCGCGAGCTACTTTTTATTAATTTAATAAACATCCCGCAGAGAGCGGTGAGCTTCAGCCACCGACAGCAGCGCTGCTCGGGTCTTAATGAGAGGAGCTTCCTTAAATCCATACGCTCATAAAGGAGACAACGCCAATAAATGTATCCACACAACCTTTGACTCACAGGCTCTTTAACATCTAATATTCCAGAATGATGTGGGCCGTCTTATTTATTTATCTAATACCTCATTTATTACTATTCGGAGATTGGCAGGCACTTTGCAGGGGCTAACGGAGAGCACCTCGCATGGAAAAATAATGGTGATCTTACTTTAAAAGCGGCTTTTTCCGGCCCTGAACGGCTCAGCGTGGACGGTAGCGGCAACGGGAATCATTAAACTCGCCCTCTTCCTCTTAGCTCATGAGTATACACACAGCAACGTGGTAAGAAACACTAACCATTAACATAATGCCTGAATAATGGGGACAAGAGAGTCTAGATGTCAAACAGCGGAAAGTGTAAATTCCCCCGTAATATAAATTTCACTTCTTTGCCTTCATTTCTCTCCATCTCTATGTTCCCTCCTGTTCCCAACCCTCTTTATTCTGTACTGCTACATATATTCATGAATTCATGTTTGTGATGAAAACTTATGCGGATTGAGGGTAAAAAAACAAACATAAAGTGTATTTTGACGAGGATCTGCCTTGTTTCAGTGCCAGAGACTTGCACCAGCTTCAGTCCTCGGGGACGCACCAGGACGGTAGACCCTCATTCCGTATTTCTTTCTCTTTTCTCCTACCCCCTCCATACTATGCTCTCTCTCTATCCTCTACCTTATCCCCCCCCACACACACCCCCTCCTCTCCCTCTGTCAAAGTCAGTTACAGACAGAAGATTTCTCCTTCTTAAATAATTCACAGGTTGATTAATAGACTCACAAGGGTATAATTAGACAGGGGAGAGACAGTGGCTAGTGTAACCAGTACAGTGCTTATGGGAATTAGAGAGTGGGATTAATAAGGAAACCGAGAATACTGCGAGTGTTCAGAAAATGTGTTGGTGGTTCAGATTGGAGAGCTGAGCGAGTTTGGGATGGGGGGAGGGCTGTGTGCTGTATGAAGCACTTTCTCCAGGAGCAGAGAGCCAACGTTTGTTTGATGTGGAAATTGGACAGTTTCAATCCGTCTCTTTTAATTTTTCACAAGTTACAGGGACCCCCTTGACATACCACACTTTTCTAAAGGAAATAAAATTAATTTGCCTTTCCTTTTTTTTTTTTGTGGCCCCTTTCTGAAATGTTTCATCCAGATCCCCCCCCAACCCCCTTTCTCCTTTATATTTGCCCTCGTAGATCTATAGAAGGAAGTGCAGCTATCATCAGCATATAAACTCAGTGCCGTCGCTTCTAAAATGGGATTGGGCTACTTTTGCATTCTGAAAGGGACTAGTTTTGTTGTGCGAGATTGCCATTCGTTGCGAAAATCTGCCAGACAGATCTCCGCTTCAAATGTAAACAGCTTCTTATCCCTTCGCCTGCATAGAACAAATCAGAAATGAAACAAAAGTATCAACGCAGAATCCAAAAAAAAAAAAAACATTTCAGAGATGTTTCTTTTCACCCTACAGTGAAGAGAGGAGGAGACTTATGGGACTTCACTTATGATGCTGCATATTATTTTGCTGTCTTACCTCGTGTCTTTTGTTTCTCATTTAAAAGATGCATTTGTGGAATGTATTCTCTGTCCTGTCCCATGTGTGCATTTTGAATGGAAGACAGCTAAATCCTTAGCGTGGTCTGAATGGGTCCACCAAACAGAGCGGGTTGTATTTATCTGCCTCTTTTCTCGCTCGTTTCTTCCATCTGTGTCTCCAGATGTTTTCTTCCATTCTCACAATGCATCTGAACTGTCAGTGAAGAAAAGGCAACATGACAGCACTGTTTGCACAAGCTCATCCTGGGCCATTTCATCCTGCGCTGCAAGACATGCATGCAATGAGTCCCCAGGTGATTCAAATGGGGGATTTGATTCAGTTTGCTTCTGAAAATGAGAATAGTTTAATTAAACAGGTTAAATGTAGCTATATAAAAACTTGCAGACTCAGTACTTGTCGCAAGCTTGCATTGATATAGCTTGCTAAGATATAGGCTAAGCTTTTCAAACATTAAAGAAGGTAAAAATTAACGTAGCTTTACCTTAAAAAAGTAGTTTGCTACGCTACAAGCTACTAACAAGAGCTGCCAAATTGAATTTTCTTTTTTATGCAATATTGCAGTATTAGCTCTAAATGATTTATCCATGAACAATAAAAAATGATCTGCCTCATCTGTAGTTAAAATAATTTCACCTCCCTCTGATGATGTGTTTGCATGCATGGGCGGCACGAGGGCGGGCCAACTTGTCTTTATGTTCAAACAGTCGGCAACTAGACATAGTTGGGGGTGTGGTGAGGGTGGAGTCGGCGTGGGGAAAAGACAGCGAACATTGTGTGTATTTGAATGACAAAAATGTCTTATTGCGAGGCATTGACTCCTGCCAACCGGCACCGATACGTTGTAAAATTAACTGTAATAGGTTATGATTGCCCATATTTAATTAAAAACTGGGTCAGTGACCCAACCAATTGGCCGGAGGTGTTGTTTCCAGATATGTTCCGTTATCTGGTTGAATATAAGACATTGCGGTAGCTATTGTGGTAATATTAGCCTATAACTCCATCATATGTTGCATATCACTTACCAATTGTATGTATGCTTCACTCCAAATTAACTGTGCTGATAGTTTCACGGTTGGCGTCATTATGTAGCGATTGGCCCAATCTTCAGCTGATAACGCTAATGTGAATGAGACATCCCTTATAAAAAACAACCATTGGAATCTTGTAGTATTTTAGGGTAAAATATTATAGTAATCCTTGGTGATGTGTGTCTCGAGACCGGTCTTTTATGCCTTGTCACTGCTTTGGCGGCCTTTAGTCTTGGTCTTGTCTTGGTCTTGTTGTCTCAGACCGACTTAGTGGTTGTGTATTTTAATGAGCGCCAAGGCAATGTTTTCCCCCACGGGCTAAATTCACCTGAGGTGACGGGTCGTTCCCGGGGACGTTTCCAGACCAACCGTCTGTCGGCGATCTCCCAAAACCTGTTGGCGAGAGGAAATCGGGCCTTAAATCGTTCAGTGTGAACTCGGCCTTAGTTCAGTAGCGTTGCTATCAGTAACCTAAAAGGGGGCGCCAGTGTTCCCTGCAGTTTTGGTTTATTTCTCAAGGATGGCATTAAAGCTCTGTACACCTGATAAAGGGGGTGTCAGGAGGCCTCTGACAGCCTCAGAGGCTGCTGAGTTTTTGCGATTTGGTTGCTACGCCGCCAGAACAAGGAGAGCAACTTTGAAGTTTTGACAGACGAAGGTCTCTGAACATCCCTTAATCTTGACTTTCCTCAGACAGTACACACGGCAAGTTCAAGCTGTTTGCTTTCTGCTTCTTAATGACACAAACAAACCATTCACCCACCACACATCATAAGATTTCATCTACCTTAATGCAAGCTCTGGCTGATTTCTTCAGACGCAAAAGCCCCTTAACTCTCTCAGAAACTAGCCGTCTCCAAAGAGCGTATACACGAGCGTGTGGGAAGACGCGGCTTGCCGCTGGGTGCCGATGAGCTCTCGCGTGTCGTGTGGGGCTTTTTGATCGTACCTGAGTGTTTTTGTTAGCATGCTGCAGGAAACTGCCTGGTGTGATGTGTTGAAAACCAGATCAATGGCTAGCAACTGTAAACGGATGGGCTCTGTCAGAACGGATTGTCCTGACAAGAGACAGACTGTGCGCTTAACACGCCTTCATCAATCGAACTTCATTTGTCCCCCAAAACAGTAGTAGAAATAAAAGTGGAAAAGCAGTAGTGTTTTTTCCATGAACAAAATATCATTTTACATTGCTTACAATTTATAATAATAACCTATATGCCCATAGCCTACCTATTGGGTATAGGCCTTTACACATAGGGTGGGAGTGTAACTCATCCAACCATACAGCCTACAGACATCAGTGATTCCATGTATTG